CACAAGGCGGTCTTTAAAACGCGCTCAGAATAGTCAGCGGGAGGATGACTCACTCCGCGAAGCGACGGCCGCCCAGCCTCGGGCGATACCGTCCTCGGGACGCCACCTCGGGGACCCACCTGAAAACAGACAACAGTGGCGTTAGAAACAGTTGCACGACCACCGCGATGACCGTCCGGCCCCCAACTCTCACACCGCCACCGCCCGGTCACATGGAGGATGAGGAAGCAGACCACACTGAACACACACACACAAGGAAGAAATTGTGGGCGCGAGAAATGGGAGTAAGGACCGTCGCACATAAAACTGACGCAACGAAACGTCAAGTCGTGCTGCAGAAAGTAACCAGGCCGGAGCAAGGGGGTCGCCGGCCGCCGCTGCTGCTGCCCAGGAGAAATGAGCTCCCAGGGCACGAAATAAAAAAAGTATCAGGAAAACAAAAGAGCTGCAGCGGAGGGTGTGGCCGCGTGATGGTTATTGATGAGCGCCTGTCTGTCTCTCTCTCTCTCTCTTTCTTCCGCAGCAGGTTCCCTCCGCGAGTTCTCCTTCGACCTCACTCCCCGCTATGGGACACGACACTTGCAACCTGCTCAAGTTGCGAATAGGTCAAAAAACTCAAAGCCCAGGTACACAATACACAATCTCCGATGGTACCCCACCCCCTCCCCCCTTTTACCAAGGAAAAAGAACTGGTCCAGTGGGACTATCTCGCTACTGCAAGAGTAGAGAAGAAACTGTCTCTGGAGCTGAAAGTGGAAGCATACCGAAGGGTGGCACACCCCTCTTCAAACAACAGAAGGACATGTCATCCATCTTCTCCATCTTGCAGAAGGACGCGCGCGTGTCCTTTACTGCAGTATAGCTGTGAGTGAGTGAGACATTTTGTTCCGAACACTGCTTGTTGTTGCATGACAAGGCCAGTAGCAGCGCCGCGTCGTCGCCAGAGCCGAAGGAGAGAGGAGGGGGGGGGGGGCGGCGAGGAGGTATATAGGCAACCGCCTGGCGCGCGTCGCAGCCGTGCCGTCGGGCTGCCCACCCCGCAGGCGCCCCTAGTGGGGGCCGGGGCCCGGGCCGGGTGGGTCGGGTCGGTCTACTACCTGGGCAGCAGGAGCGTCGGTCGCATCGCGCGGACCCCACCGCCGAGTCAACAAGATGGAGGCCGCGACGCCCACGGCCGCGCCCAGCAGGGCCCACGGCGCCCAGTCCGCGGTCATGGCGACAGCCCACCGCGCCAAATTCCAGCGCGCTCCGCCAAAAGAGAATATATATATTCAAAGACTACGACTGAAACTCCGGGGGCGCTCGGTCGGGTCCGGTGCTCGGCTCAACCGGCAGCCGAACGCTGCTCCGCCATAACGCACCGGCGACGAACGGCAGAGAACTGCGGCCGCGGTCCGGCCTGGCCGGGGCGGCATGGAACGAGGGCAGGGCAGGGCGGCCAGCGACCGATGTGGGAGAGAACAATTAAGATAGAGGAACTGTCGTAAAGCCGCACCGATGACAAAGACGCCTATCAGGCTATCAACTTGCTAAAAATCACCATGAAGATAATTTCACCTTAGACGCCGAAAAATCGCGAAAAATGTACCTGAACGAGTCAGGGCGCTAGATATTTGTTCTTCCACTTTCGGCTTCGGGCAAACTAAGAAATATAGCCAGTTACAAAAATTCATACAAGATAGGATAAGATATTGAGCGGCAACGGGGGCAACGCTTCCGTTTCATATGTTACTCTAGAAGGCACCTATTCCGGCCTAGCCTAGAGAAGCGATAAGAGTCAAATAGGCCACCAAAATTATCTTCATATTTTGAGCAAATATACTCAAAAAGTAACACATGCAGAATTTGGTTGCACGGTATTTGGCGTGGAGCTTGAAAGAGGACGGAGGAGGACGGAGGAGGATGGAGGAGGATGGAGGAGGAAGGTGAGGGATGGAGGAGGAGGACGGAGGAGGAGGACGGAGGAGGAGGACGGAGGAGGAGGACGGAGGAGGAGAGTGGAGGAGGATGGAGGAGGAGAATGGAGGAGGAGGATGGAAAAGGAGGAAGATGGAATAGGAGGATGGAGGAGGAGGATGGAGGAGGAGGATGGAGGAGGAGGATGGAGGAGGAGGATGGAGGAGGAGGATGGAGAAGGAGGATGGAGAAGGAGGATGGAGAAGGAGGATGGAGAAGGAGGATGGAGAAGGAGGATGGAGGATGGAGGAGGAGGATGGAGGAGGAGGATGGAGGAGGAGGATGGAGGAGGAGGATGGAGAAGGAGGATGGAGAAGGAGGATGGAGAAGGAGGATGGAGAAGGAGGATGGAGAAGGAGGATGCAGAATGCAGAAGGAGGATGGAGAGGAGGATGGAAAGGAGGATGGAGAAGGACGATGGAGAAGGATGGAGGGGGAGAGTGGAGGAGGAGAATGGTGGAGGATGAGGGAGGATGAATGAGGATGAAAGATGAAGGAGGATGAAGGATGAAGGAGGAGGATGGAAGATGGAGGGCGGATGGAGTAGTATGGAGGATGCAGGAGGGGGTAGAGGGACCGAGAGGGTAGTGTTTTCGATCGGGCGGGTTTACGCATTCTAACTAGCCCGACGCTTGATGGCGTTCATACCCGACCCGACCCGCCCGACAAAGAGAGTCGGGCGAGTCGGGCAAAGATTTTACCCGACAGAGAGACAGCTTCCAAATCACCGGCCCCGGCTGTCCTTCTGCCCGGTCAAGCTCACAACCGTGGCCAGGATCGACCAGCAAGGGCGAGGGGTGAGGTTTCGGGGACCGGAGGCGCCTAGTGAGGCTCGGCAGCCGATGTAAGTGTCGGGCGAGCCTTACCCGACCTCATCGTGTGACGTGAGCGATGAGACAGTTGCCAGCCACACAGTTCTATCTCCTCTTGTGTCGGGCAAGCGCCGATCTCATACCCGCCCAATCGAAAACACTACGAGAGGGACCCCTGGCGGGTTGGAAGCAGGTGGCTCAAAATCGATGCTGCTGAAGGTGGTTGGAGAGGCATTTATTCGCGCTCTATGGGTCCGAGCCGCGGCAG